CGAAAACAAAAGACTTTACCTAAGCTTCCGATGTTCTTGAGATGTTACTCGTTTTTTTAATAGTTTTCGGTTAAAATTCTGTTATATTACAATGATATTCTATTCATACTGTGCTTGATATAATACATTCACGGAAATGTAATATTTTTGCTGAAATGACGTACGTATTAAAGTGGAAAGTGGGATAAAATCGTGACGAAAACAATGACTCGCTTTCTTTCGTTCAAAAGATGTTACCGTAATCACTTTTCGAATGGTTTAGTTAAAAAACTGTTGTATTGTATTACAATAATATCCTAATTGACTTGAATAAATATTACGATACCATATTTCTGAATATTTTCATTAAAATCCATCAAAATCATTTTCCTTGTCATCGTCTGCAGCACCAAACAGCTTCTCCCAGTCCTCTCCTTGAACAGGGCTAGAGGGTACACGTGTTTTTCGAATCGTTTTCAGTTAAAAAATTATTACATCACACGTATATTTTACCTAAACTGCGCCTGAATGAATATATTCTCGGAAATAAATAGTAGTTTTGCTGAAACGTGATGTATTTCAATGTAAAATAGGATAAAATACATGTCGAAAACAAAAGACTTTACCTATGCTTCCGATGTTCTTGAGATGTTATTCGTTTTTTTAATAGTTTTCGGTTAAAATTCTGTTATATTACAATGATATTCTATTCATACTGTGCTTGATATAATACATTCACGGAAATGTAATATTTTTGTTGAAATGACGTACGTATTAAAGTGGAAAGTGGGATCAAATCGTGACGAAAACAATGACTCACTTTCTTTCGTTCAAAAGATGTTACCGTAATCACTTTTCGAATGGTTTAGTTAAAAAACTGTTGTATTACAATAATATTCCCTCCTAATTGACTTGAATAAATACTTGAATGGAAATATACAATATTTTTGTTGAAACTACCCGCGTTTCAGTGTAAAGTGTTGTAATAATAAATGGTAAACAATTTGCCTTGGGCATCCGGATTTTTGGACTTTTACTGTACTGTACACTGTTTTGTTTACTGTAAGGACCGATGTTCACTTCAATAAATGAAATCGTAAGTTTGCTAGTATTTTTGTCCACTTATTATATTATTATTTATACACTATTATTTAAGGTTATGTGTAAAGGAAACGCATTAATGCTTAAAGGTACATTTATTCAACATATGCTAATAATAGTTAGAAAAATTACGTAACCATCACGGTATCGACGGTTTCTTTATCGAGGCCGTTTACAGAACGTAACCCCCGTCGATAAAGAGGGAGTACTGTATATATATATATATATATATATATATATATATATATATATATATATATATATATATATATATATATATATACAGTAGTACCCCGCTTAACGCGGTCAATTGAACCCACAGGGTACCGTGTTAAGTGAAAACCGCGTTAAGTGAACAACAGAACATATGGGATTAATTCCAATAGAGACTGGTCGGACCCTCAAACTCTACTTTTTCCGACACAATACCTACTGTATGTTCTAGTAAAAATAACATTTAAATTTTATGATGGTACATGCACACAATTAATACTTAAGATAAATAGAAAAATACAGTCGCCAAGTTAATGTCCATTCAAATAATGGGGTCAACTCCCTCCCCCTCTTCTCACACTACACTCGCTGGCTCTTCCCTCTCCGAGAAATTTTTGGGGGAAAACCACTATATTTTAATAAATAATACCTCAAACTAAAGTTAGGATAATATAATTGACATTGCTGGATTCCTTGTAAGACCAGGAATATTTTGAATATAAATGTCATATACTTTGCACAAAAGATAACATATTTATTCAGAGTAAACATTGTATCTAAAATTTGTATGTCTAATGCAAAATCTATGATGTTTATATTCAAAATGATCATCAAATTGTAAGAATTCCAGCTATGTAAATTATATTCTGGCCGGGTAATTTGTATGAATTTTATGAGCTAAAACAAATATCTCCAGTTAATAAAAAAAAAAATATTCTTCACGACACTATCTGTCAATCAAAGTACCCCACCTTGCCTCCCCCCCTCTTCCAACCGCGCCAGGTGGTCGGTCAGTCCCAACCCTCCCCCCCACCTCCCACCAATCTTCCCTTCAAAAGATGTTGGGTGAAAAAACAAAATTTTAACATTTAGTATTAAATAATACCTCAGATTAAAGTTAGGATAATATAATTGACATTGCTGGATTCCTTGTAAGACCAAGAATATTTTGAATATAAATGTCATATATTTTGCACAAAAGATAACATATTTACTCAGAGTAAACATTATATCTAAAATTTGTATGTCTAATGCAAAATCTATGATGTTTATATTCAAAATGATCATCAAATGAATTCATTCTGGCCATATTGTAAGAATTCCAGCAATGTAAATTATATTCTGGCCGGGTAATTGTATGAATTTTATGAGCTAAATAAAAAAAATAAAAATATTATACTTCACCGCGTATATGAGTAGATGAACCGCGTTAAGTGAAAGTTCGGTTCTGGCGAGGCACCGCGTATATGAGAAATCGCGTTAAGTGAAACCGCGTTAAGCGGGGTACAACTGTGTGTATGTATGTATATATATATATATATATATATATATATATATATATATATATATATATATATATATATATATATATATATATATATATATATATATATATATATATATATATATACATACATATACATATACACACCTAGACCCCGACTTACGACGGGGTTAGGGACCCAAATCCAGGTCGTAAGTCCGACATAGATAAAAAAAAAAATTAATAGAAAATCTACAATGAAATACAGTACAGTAAAAGTAATGAATAATGATGAATGGATACAGTACAGTGAAAGTAATAAATAATAAGGAATGGATACAGTGTGACTGAGCACTTAACCTTTAATGTAGTCAGCTGAATGCACATGGGGCCCCCATAATTTTCTAATTATACATGGAGACTACATTAACTGGAAACGTTTCGGTATAGAAAATGCGTGTGTCATTTTTTTTAATCTATATCTGAGGCGGTCGTAAGTCCCGACGGTCGTAAGTCGGGTAGTCGTAAGTGTGTGTGTATATATATATATATATATATATATATATATATATATATATATATATATATATATATATATATATATATATATATATATATATATATATATATATATATAAATACAGTGGTCCCTCGGTTAACGAGATTTCGGTTAACAAGTTACCTTCCATAAGATTTTTAACTTCAGTTAACGAGCAATCCCTCGATTAACGAGTTTCTTGAGCTGACCTGAACATGTTTTCGCTTGCATTTGGTGGTCAACCAGCTGTAGTATTAGTCCGCCAATACAGTAATCGGTTCTAGGGCTTAAATTCCTTACTATTTTAGTAAACATCAAGAAGTTTATACTATTCAATAATTTTAAAAGTTTAATATTAAATTTTTTAGTCATTTTAACAATTATTGAACATAATTGAAGGTAAGGAAACTAGTTTTATGCATACCATCCAACCTGTGAACACACCATATAGGCGTCAGTCTTTGTGTCTTTTCAGTGGAGGTAACATCTTGCTTGAGACTCTCTTCAACTAAATGCTTTTTTTCTGTGTTTGCAAGCAAATTATTGGTCATTTTGAAATTTATTTTACATATTGACAATATAAAATGCAGTGCAGTGTTGATTTAAAGAATGTAATCTTGAATTACACCGAGAACTAAAATTTTATGGGTGAAATGGCGCCATGGGGTGACTCCTCTTCCACCCCAATGCCTTCTCTTCTCCCTTCTCCTCCACCCCCATTCTAATTCCCATCATCATAATCATCATCCAGGAGCCTTCTACATACACACCTCAAAGTAAGTGTACTTTTCTACCTTTTTTGTTGAATTTAGGCAATTTTCGGTGAGGTGGAACCAATTACCCAAAAACCCATCGAAACAATGGTTTCGGTTAACGAGTTTTTCGGTTAATGAGCAACCTTCTAGAACGGATTGTGCTCGTTAACCGAGGGACCACTGTACTTTTCTGTGAGCTGGAACCAATTACCCAATATCGCACTGAAATAATGGATTCGGTTAACAAACAACTCTGTGGAACGAATTGTGTTCGTTAACCGTGGGACCACTGTATACTGTATCTACCTGAAAATACAAGTTGAAAATGAACAGCTTGGCCCAGTAGCCTGGTTACAAAGATGAGTCTAACCTGGCTACAATACAGATAGCGATGTTAACAGATGTAAATGTTAGAACAAAGTTACAGTATCTGTAAATCTTCATATGTATCAGGTATTTGTAGATTGAAAAATAAATGTTGCAGGTATGGAATTAATAGATTGTAATGCTTGTAAGAGTTCAGTCATGGTTACTGCATAGCAACCTTTGAAGAGTTTGGTGTCTGCCGTATGGACGTTAATTATCTCGGGTTATCATCATTAGTACAGTACCGAGTAGTTATACATCTATCTTTTATATTTACAATAAGTATTTTTTAATTAATTAAAAATAATAGTAGTGTGTTTAAGTAAGCAATAACATTTTTAATTCTGGAGTTGGGTTAGGTAGAATTTAGCCTACTGGAGACAGCAACTGGGGGGGATTCATTAGCTTGCAGGAGACCACAACTTCACATATCGGACACAGGCCGATTTTTTTAGCCATTTTCAGACAAAAAAGTGCATCTTTTATGCCGTAAAATACAGTAGCTTTTTATCCCTGTATAATCATAAATACAGTATTGTAAGTAATGAAGAGTATATGCTGTAAATATTCACTGAGAAACAGTAAATAACAGACTGACAATACAACAGTAAGTATAACAGGTAATATAATATAGAAATTAATAATTGAAAACCAAGTACCTGTACACGTAAAATATGGTTCCTCTGATAAGGGGTTTAGGGTCATATGGCCCCTAAGAGTAAAGAGGTTAAGTGAGATGCTTTGGACCTATTCAAAAACACTGATTAAATGTCTGAATACTTACCGAGGCTGAGAAATACCAATGCGATCCAACATACGAGAGAATTTAAATCTGTTTTCTGCTCCATCTATGGATTCTGGGGAGGTACCAAGAATGTGAGCTCCTTGACGGTGTAAGTCCAGAGCAATATTGTTGGGAAGTTGTCCACCCATACTCAGGATCACTCCTTGGGGATTTTCAAGGTTGTATATATCCATAACAACCTGACAAACAGAATTACATATTATGAGAGCTTTAAAAAGGTAATTATTATACTTAAAATGTCTTTAAATTTGTATAAAAAACACAAAAGGTACCCGAGCACCAATTACATTGCATTCCTAAAAGTTTAGTCTTAACACATGCAAACAATTATATTTAATTATTGATAATTTTAATCTGAATTAATAGAACTATAAATTATCATCATACCTCAAATGAAATCTCATCAAAATACAGTCGATCACACATATCATAGTCAGTCGATACAGTTTCTGGATTGTAATTCACCATGATGGTCCTGTGGCCTAGTTTGCGAAGAGTTCGAATGCACTGAACAGCACACCAGTCAAACTCAACAGATGATCCAATTCTGTATACACCTGATCCTAGTATATAAAAATTTATTATTAAGTTAGATCCTTAACAATTTAGGTTCTAAGAAAAATAATGTATTGTATACAATTATTAATTCAAAACCTGCACCACTAAATTTAATAAAATAGTATTTCATTAACCCTTAAGCCCTGGGTAATGTTCCAGAAAGTGCGCCTTTTCCCACAACTGTTTAAATGCCCAGAGCTGGTTATCAGGTTCCCATGTGAATATTTGCCTGTCACGCCACACCTCAGCCACAGGGAAGCTTCCTGAATGTAATTACCTACTTTTGTTTTTCATTTTCATTGTTTGTCCATCTTATCAGGTTGTATCAAAGAAATATTGCTAATAGTAGTGTAGTTGTACTGTAGCGTAGTATTACTGGAAAATAATGCTATGATTATGTTATAAATGTATTTATTTGTGGAATTATTATTATTTTATGCAGTACTTACTCTACCAAACACAAAGACAGCCAGACAGCTGGCGACTGACTGCTGTGTGTCGCCAAGCACTTTTTATGAAAAATAATTAAAAAAAATAATTCTAAATGATCAGTAAATATATGCATTATTGGCCATCTCGAACACAAAGAAAAGCTAAAAATAGCCCTCTTATCACCCTCCCTCTCTCCCTTCGCACAAACACCACCACCACCACCTCTCTTACGTGCGGTCAGGTGGAAGCTTCTTGGTAAATAACTTCCTTTGTTTATTTTCATTGTTTGCCCATTTTATCATGCTGAATCAAAGTAACATAACCAAAATTGTGTAGTTTTATTTTAGTTTAAAATTACTAGATGATAATGCTATGACTGTTATAAATGCATTTACTTGTGGAATTATTATTCCGATAATTATTTGTATGACCTTCTTGCTCTCCCAAACATAAAGCCTGACGACAGACTGCACGTTTGTGTGTCGCTGAGCACTTTTTATTTAAAATAATGCAAATACAGTCATTTCTGCTACTACGCGTGTTTTGTCAACGCGAATTGGCTATAACGCAATTGATGAATAGAAGAACGATATTTGTAAAACGCGAACGCGTGTTGGCTGAAACGCGATTCCACTCTAACGTTTTAAATGTACTGTCGCTTGGCAGGGGTTATTGCAAGAAGAAAAATACCGATTTTAAAATTTTCCTCATTTTAGATAATGCGCCAAGCCTCCCTCCCACCATTGCTGAGCTTTCTGACAATATCAAAGTGCTCTTTCTACCTCCAAATACAACATCTCTCCTTCAACCAATGGACCAAGGAGTAATAGCAGCCTTCAAAGCCTATTATTTGAGGCATACATTTAGAAACTTGTTGCAGCTACTGAGGAAGGAGATGATAAGGCCAGAGTTCTTCCGTTTTGGAAAATTTCAACATCAAGCATGCAATTGACTTCATTGTGGAGGCGGCCTGGGGTGATGTAAGTAAGGACTGCTTGAGTGGAGTTTGGCGGAAGCTTCTCCCAGATTTCATTCATGACTGGCAACAGCCAGTCTCCCCTCTCTCCCCCCTCCACCACCCACACATTTAGACATGGTGTCACCTCTTGTTGATACCAGAGTCTACAAAATCAGTTATAATTCAGTTAAAAACACCATTCTTCACTTGAATAATGCTCAATTGTTTATCTAAGAGTTTGGTTAAATTTTAGTTTTTTTAAATCTACATGATACGGGCATGTGAGGTGCATACACTCGGTTACAAGAGAGGAAGGACAAGTGACCCTTGTGGGGGAGTGAGGAAAAACTGACCACATCAACCCTCCCTTCCCCCACCACACCCTGCCTCCACCACCTATCTATACCCTCCATAATTGTTTAAGTAAATAAGAACAAGAATAAGAGATAAGGGAGAAAGCGTGTAAATAAATATAAAGAAAAATAGAGAGAAAGAAATACTGTATAGTAATTAAAGAATTAATAAAAATGGAGATAAAAATGAAACATTATATCTGTGGAAAAGGAGTAAATTTCTCCTCATTCTCTCATGTTACTGACCTGACCTGATGCAATATCAGGTCATCCATTGTACAGTATATAAACTCTTCTCTTATTTGTGGTGAAAATGGGTTAACGGATTAGTAGTCTCATATTGCTGACCTGATGCATTGCCAGGTTACCCATCATTGGGGTGGGGAATTAGGGAGTCATGACCTGAAGATGTCTCAAATAAAGATGAAAGTCATATACACTGTAACTTCGTTAATTCGGATCCCAGCTTCTTTTTTCTTTTTTTTATGAATGAACAATTTGAATTGGGAATGAATCTGAAATAACCATGCAGTTCCTAAGAGTTGATTACTTTTATAGGAATATATTATGAAATTAAGATAAAAGCATTATAGGAATAAAATATTAATAATATCAAGATACAAAACTACGTTTGTGTGCATACGGGAGGGGTGGTGGAGGAAGGAGGGCGGGAGAGCAACTCGCTACCTCCCGCCCCGCAGCCCGCGATCCCTTTATAATAAGAGCATACAATTTCATCATAATTCCCATGTTAGTTAGGTTCAATTGGTGCTGGGTTAATGAAACATTTCAAAAATTATTAATTTTCCCTAAAAAATCCAACACTCAACCCCAGATGAGATAGTGCAGTCTCATGTTTATGCCAGATTTTCAGTATTTCGAGTGACCCATAGCCCCCTTTTTGTTGAATAACCTAAATAAGCAAGAGATCACTAAATTACTGCCTTACCGCTACCTGCAATACTCATGGGTTTCCACATAAGCTCTCACTATTGTCACATTTCAACCAATCACATAAGCGATAACTGCACGCGAAACCCGCATTAAATGAGACCCCATTGTATTGTATATGAAGGGTACAGGTACTGTATTGATAAACACAGATTATAACAGTAATGTATCTTTACTAATTAATGAATAACAAATAAATAATGTACTGTACAATATTGTATCATGAATGGCAGTCTTGGTATAATGAGTGAGAGAGGTAGTGAGATGCAGAGGGTGGGAGGGAGGGAGGTTCTGAATTACTGCTGGGTAGACAGAGGCAAATAGCATAAAGAAACATGCCCATAGTTTCACCGTGCCCTGGGATCAAACCCGGATCCACTCTCTTGTGAGGTGAGCATGCTGATGACACCACAGTTTGCCACACACACAATCATATATCAACATTTATACAACAAAATATATCAACATATATATAGATCACTTCAACATTATATATCAACATGCAATTATCATTATTATATCCCAACATGCAATAATCATCACCACCACCAATATCCTCAACATTTTCCATGCCTGTGTACAACAACATGGTTATACCAATTTAGTATAAGTTACACATCTTCATGAAACAACAACTAGGCCCCAACATGCTTTATACACCACCATAGTTCACCTGAAATAAACTCAGTACAGAACATCTTTACATACCTAAGACCATTGTAGCACCAGCAGGAAAATTTAGGTCATGATTCTTGCCACAGTAAGTGAGGTAAAGGTAATTGGTTGCTGCTGGCCATTCAGCAGACACTGTATCTACTTGCTTTACAACAGGAAGTATACCTGAGGGAAAAACATGACACATATTAATCATATCAAATGTGGCTATTATTGTCAGTTGCTGCCCATAACTCTGAGGTTGTTTTCCACTTTTGTTTTAAATTCTAATAAAAATTTATAACAGCCAAAAGCCATAAAAACAAGGGCAACAGGGGCATTAATAAACAATAAAATCCCTTCACATAATGCAAAGTATCAGTAAGATCTAAGAAATCGAGAATAATCAGCGAAGTATAACCAAAAGGCCAAATAAAGGAGTGGAGTCATCACATGCACCTGTGATTCACTTGTGGCTATTATGAATACTTTTGTGATTCACTTGTGGTTCATTATGAATAGTTTTGTGATTCACTTGTGGTTCATTATGAATAGTTTTGTGATTCACTTGAAGATCATTATGAATACTTTTGTAATTCACTTGAAGGTCATTATGAATAATTTCGTGATTCACTTGAGTCATTATGAACATCTGTGACTCACTTGAGGGTCATTATGAACATCTGTGATTCACTTGAGGGTCATTGTGAACATCTGTGATTCACTTGAGGGTCATTGTGAACATCTGTGATTCACTTGAGGGTCATTGTGAACATCTGTGATTCACTTGGGATCATTATGAACATCTGTGATTCACTTGGGATCATTATGAACATCTGTGATTCACTTGGGATCATTATGAACACCTGTGATTCACTTGGTGTTATGAGTATGTATACAGTCCTGGCCAAAAGTCTTGTGCAAGGCAGTTTTGGCTAACCTGGTTATGTGGCAATGTCTCACACACAAGGCGAGTGCCAGAGACCCCGATTATGTGAACAATCCATTATATGGTGTCTCTATGTTCATATCCTCTATGAACTACAAAATTTACCGAAGATTATTGGTAAAATGGTAAGGTGTATTTTATACTGTATTACTTTTAATATACAGTAATATTATCAATGATAGCAGCCACTGTGAATCAGTAGCTAAATCACAATGCCTCGATCACTCATATCTACCACACTATACTCTTGAGTGTTAATGTAATACTTGTATCCATGTAAAACAACCGTGCTGCCATCCCTAAAGATAGGGCATGAAATGTTTGCGGTGAATTCTTATCATTACATGTCATATTACTTTCACTTCACAATCATGGCTTGATCACTCCTCTTCTCTTGCATATAAGGAGAGAGATAGAGCATATCAAGTTATGAAACTATCTCCTTCTCCTGTTACTTACTCCTTTCATTACTTCTAGGAATCATTGTAAGGTTGTTCTTTGGAGGGCCAAGAAAGACCGCTGTCCTGACTAAATCTTCTGCTCTTAAATCCTTCTGGTCCTTAACCCAAAACATCTGTAACAACTTCTGCACTCCCTCCTCTCTTCCGACCTGATATCTTTAAGGTTGGATGTGAGCAAGGCACATGGCCCTGACAAAATACCCCCTCGTGTTCTGAGGGAGTGTGCTGAAATTCTAGCCCCCGTGCTTGCTCGCCTCTTTCGCCTTTGCCTGAAAACCCAAAAATTTCCTTCTTCTTGGAAGCATGCCTTGGTTCAGCCCATCCCAAAGAAGGGTGACCATTCTAATTCCTCTAACTATCGCCCCATTGCCCTAACTTCATCCCTCTCTAAGATTTTTGAAACTATCTTGAACTCTCATTTTCTCTGTCACCTTGAACGCCTTTCTCTTTTGTCGGATCACCAGTATGACTTTCGGCAGGTGAGATCTACTGGTGATCTGCTCTCCTATTGCACCCATCTTTGGTCATCCTCTCTTAGGGATTATGGGGAATCTTTTGTCGTGGCCCTCGACATCTCCAAAGCATTGACAGAGTATGACAAAGCCTTCGCTTTCTAAACTTCCCTCTTATGGTTTCTCTCCCCAAATTTGTTCTCTAATTTCTAGCTTCCTTGAAAATCGATCCATGGCAGATGTTGTTGAGGGATCGATCTTTCACTCTTTCTCTACCAATAGTGGTGTCCCACAGGGCTCTGTTATTTCACCTACACTCTTCCTTCTTTTTATAAATGATTTACTTCACACTACAACTAATTCTATCCATTTTTATGCTGATGATTCTACCGTATATCTCGGCCTATAAGGCGTCGGGGTGCATAAGACGGCCTCCCCCAAATTTCCATTTAAAAAGTAGCTTTTGAGCTCTATTCGCTGTATAAGACCAGTACCCCAAATGTGACACTTACCCACTGACTCATTAGTCCTTTACCAACCATCCTTGGTTTTTTAAAATAAGGCCAATTCACTTCAAGTAATGTCATCAAATGTTAACCGCTGGTGTAGTGTAAACACTAGTGACGTCACTGAAGCGTCTGCTATTTACCGGTAACTGGAACTAATGTCTGTGTTGAGTAAAATTTTTCCATTTACTTGAAATATATATATATACAGTTGTACCCCACTTAACGCGGTCAATAAAACCCACAGGGTACCGTGTTAAGTGAAAACCGCGTTAAGTGAACAACAGAACATATGGGATTAATTCCAATAGAAACTGGCCCATCCCCAAACTCCACTTTTTCCGACACAATACCTATGTTCTAGTAAAAATAACATCTTAATTTTACGATGGTACATGCACACAATTAATACTTAAGAGAAATAGAGAAATACAGTCGCCAAGTTAATGTCCATTCAAATAATGGACTCGACTCCCTCCCCCTCTTCTCACACTACACTCGCTGGCTCTTCCCTCTGAGAAATTTTGGGGGGAAAACCAGGTATAGTAATAAATAATTCCTCAAACTAAATTTAGGATAATATAATTGACATTGCTGGATTCCTTGTAAGACCAGGAATATTTTGAATACAAATGTCATATATTTTTCACAAAAGATAACATATTTACTCAGAATAAACTTTACATCTAAAATTTGTATGTCTAATGCAAAATCTATGATGTTTATATTCAAAATGATCACCAAATTGTAAGAATTCCAGCAATGTAAATTATATTCTGGCCGGATAATTTGTCTGAATTTTATGAGCTAAAACAAATATCTTCAGTTAATAAAAAAAAATATATATTCTTCACGACACTATCTGTCAATCAAAGTACCCCACCTTCCCCCCCTCCTCTTCCAACCCCGCGGTCAGTCCCAACCCTCCCCCCAACCCCCCACCAATCCTCCCTTCAAGAGTTTTTAACATTTAGTATTAAATAATACCTCAGATTAAAGTTAGGATAATATAATTGACATTGCTGGATTCCTTGTAAGACCAGGAATATTTTGAATATAAATGTCATATATTTTGCACAAAAGATAACATAGTTAATTTGAGAAAAATTTTTTATCTAAAATTTGTATGTCTAATGCAAAAATATGATGTTTATATTCAAAATGATCATCAAATTATAAGAATTCCAGCAATGTAAATTATATTCAGACCGGGTAATTTGTATGAATTTTATGAGCTAAAACAAATATCTTCAGTTAATAAAAAAAAAAATAATTCTTCACGGGGTAACAGATGGTCGGTCGGTCCCTCCCTCCCCCCCACCCCCCACCAACCGTCCCAAGGAGATGTGTGGGATAACCACTAAATTTTAATAAATAATACCTCAAACTAAAGTTAGGATAATATAATTGACATTGCTGGATTCCTTGTAAGACCAGGAATATTTTGAATATAAATGTCATATATTTTGCACAAAAGATAACATAGTTACTCTGAGAAAAATTTTTATCTAAAATTTGTATGTCTAATGCAAAATATATGATGTTTATATTCAAAATGATCACCAAATTATAAGAATTCCAGCAATGTAAATTATATTCTGGCCGGGTAATTTGTATGAATTTTATGAGCTAAAACAGGCAGTCAGGCAGGGTGGCGGGTGAGGCAAATCTAAAAATAGCGTCTCGAGCCGGACACTCACGCGTATATGTGGAAAAAATCCGTGTTAAGTGAAAGTTCAGCTCTGGCGAGGCACCGCGTATATGATAAAACGCGTTAAGTGAAACCGCGTTAGGCGGGGTAATACTGTATACATATATACATATACATATACATGCATATACATATATATACATATACATATACAGTGGTCCCTCGGTTAACGAACGCCTCGGTTAACGAAATTTCGGTTAACGAACTGCCTCCCTTAAGATTCTTAAATTCGGTTAACGAATTTCTTACGAACCGACCTCAACATGTTTTCGCTTGCATTTGGCAGTCCACCAGCTGTAGTATTAATCCACCAATACAGTAATCGGTTGTAGGGCTTAAATTCCTTACTATTTTAGTAAATATCAAGAAGTTTATACTATTCAATAATTATAAAAGTTTAATATTCAATTTTTTAGTCATTTTAACAATTTTTGAACATAATTGAAGGTAAAGTGACTAGTTTAATGCACGGCATCCAGCCTCTTAACACAGCAAACAGGCGTTAGTTTCTCTCTCTGTTTTCACTGGAGGTAACATCTTGCTTGAGACTCTTTCCAACTAAATGCTTTTTTCTGTTTCCAAGCAAATTATTGGTCAATTTGAAATTTATTTTACATATTGACAATATATAGCGCAGTGCAGTGTTATTTTAAAGAAAATATTCTTTATTTACAACAAGTTTAACTTTGAAAAACACGTGTTGACATTGTTTGAATCCAGCATGGGGCCTAAGAGATCAAGAAAAGCTACTTCAATCCAAACCAAGCAGGAAATCATAAAAAAACATGAACAAGGCATTAAATCAAATGTGGTCAGCAAAGAATATGGCATGTCGGCATCAACTGTGTCGACAATTCTTGCACAGAAAGACAAATTTAAAGAAGTGAAAGTGAGAGACAAATCTACAAGAGTGTTTAAAAGTAGATCCCTAATCGCAGAAACTGAGAGGTTACTTATCATCTGGATAAGGGAAAAACAGATGAAAGGTGATTCAGTTTCTACTGAATTCATTTGTGAAAGAGCCAGGGAGATTTACGAACTTTTAAAGGCAGATCAACCTGGTTCTTCAGGCACAGAATTTGAAGATTTTCGGGCCAGCAAAGGCTT